ATTTTATGTTACTCTCAACTTTGAAAAAATTATACACACACACATACAACATGAGATTTGGGCAGGGGCACAGATCAAACCATATCAGGATGGAGTTCATGATTATGGGAGTAGATTCCTAATAAAAAGGATGAAATCATCCCATTTCTCTCTCTGTCTCATGTGCTAGTTTCCGTATTCCATCTTTCACCATGAAATGACCCTCAGTAGATGCCAGTTATATATGCACAGATATTTCTTTATGTTCCTAAAAAGTATATTCTAAAGTTTTAACTTTATATAGAACATATTTTGTTGGAGGTAATCTTTTGGACATTTTTACCACTCAGTCTTTTATTAAGATTTATACTTTTGCAAGCAGCTCTCATTCACTTTCCTAACTGCTATACATTTTTCCAATATGTAAACATACCAAACACAAGCATTCATTTATCTCTTTTCCCGTAGAAGGTCTCTGACATACATTAACAAAAGTCATTCTCAACTAAAAATCTAGAGGTAGGAATGCTGGATGATAGAGTATGCAAGTTTTCCATGTAGATAAATAAATGTTCTTTATACTTAAATAACACTCATTATAGATGGTGGTTGCTGATTTATTTTTAAAAACCCAATCATTAGTAAAATCAAAATATTCAAAATTTTAAAGGAAATTTTATACTCTGAAATTCCAAAGTCTGAGGACTCAAGGCTAGAGAATATATGAAAAAGGCTAAATTTCATCCGCATATGTGAAGGAGTTATAGTAATAGTGCTTATTTCACTGGGCTGTCATGAGGATTAAAGAGACAAAGAATTATACAGTCATTGTTCCATAAACCACAGCCCCTGGATGCCTTGGTTTCAGATGACAGTTTCTAAATGCCTCGGCTTGTGCAGCAGGCTTTGTTGTGCTCACTGCAGTGTTCAGACTTTCTGAAGTGGGATAACCCTGACCAGTGCCAGTGCCATGCTCTCGGAGCCTGAGAGCAGCTTTCAAGGTGGCATTTGTTCCTTGTATTTATCTGTTCTAGCGAACATCTGCAGTGCTCAGGAATAAAGTAAAGCTTTGCATACAGTGATGTCCTTTGTGTGTAGATAATTGTTTATTTCTTTTGACAATATGGAGGAAGCAAAGCTGCAGCACACAAGGGTATCTTGGAATTCAGTTGCCTCTGACTCTGTGTCTTTGTTCTGCCTCACAGTTTCCTTTCCTATTGCAAACACGGCTAGTCATATGGGTAACAGCCAGATCTGAGGGATACACTACATCATAAGGGGAAGAAGAATGAAACTACCAGTCTGTTAAAAGAAAAGCAACCTTTTCTCCAGTTTCAAGACTAAGAGCCAACTCCCCAGGGAGTTCCATGGTGGTTTCTCCTGGCTGGACACTGGAATCTAATGCACACTGAGGTGAGTTTAGCTTCATGTAAGAAATGATTTTGGATAAGAGAGATCACAAGGCATCCAGACTTAATTTCCACTCACAGATCAAATCCATCAATTACATGTCCAGTTGTTATTTAAATAATTCAACAAAATACTATTTCATAAACCTCAGCAGTTCTTGGCATTTGTTTAAATACAAAGGGAGGATTTTTGCAATTCCTTCAATAATGTCAGTTTGTTCAATCTAGTTTTGTTATAACTTTGAAGAGGAAAAAAATACATTCTTAGCCAGGGCCACTGTCTGTGTGTTTGCACGTTCTTCCCATGTCTGTGTGTATTTTCTTTGGGTTCTCCAGCTCCCTCTGATAGCTCAGAACTGTGCACATTGGGTGAATTGGTATGTCTAAACGGTCTCTATTTGAGTAAGGGTGGGTGCTCCCTGCAGTGGACTAAGGTGTTCTGCCCAGTTCCACCCTGTACCATCTGCCTTGTGGTGCTGGGATAGGCTGGGGCTACCAAAGGCAATAAGCATGAATAAGCATGTTGAGAAATGAATGAATGAATACAAATGATTGCCAAATAAAAATTCTTAAAGTATAAGACAATAATACAAATGCACAACAATAAGTAATACGGTACAGAAGTGCTCTGGGAGTCCACCGTATTTCTAATTGCTTATGTTTTGACTGCATGGTGATAAGAGGTGCTCCTGACCATTTTTGCTTTGTAAACATTTATTCCTTGATTTAATCCACCACCACTAAAACTGCTGTCACTCACGGATTCACTAAAACATAAATAATTATTCTACATTTTTTAATTGTTCTTAAATTTATGTATAGGTCACATTTATCACAATGTTTAATATTTGAGATGTTTTGTTTCTTTATTTATAAGTTTGGTGATGTTTCTGTGACTAAAACTATGCAATAGGAGCTTAACTCTTGTTTATATCAATTAACCTATTGGTTTTCTTACATACTGTTTTGCTTAAAATCAGTTTCCAAGAACCTACTGATGATATTAAGTGAGGATTTATTGTAGTTGGTTTTTTGCCAAAGAGACTCAAGTCTGAGATACTAGAGTGTTTGCACAAGGAAAGGGTCCTGACACAGTTAATAGAAATGTCTCAAAGACAAACATGCTTACTTTAAAAAATAAAATACTATTTGCACTTCTTGTGTGCCTAGCACTGTGCTGGATACAGACATGAAGAAGATGAGTAAGGCATTCTTCTCATGAAGTTCTGGCTCGTGGGGAAGGTAAGCAATGTAATGAACAATACCATGGTACAACACTGGTGGTAACCTCTACAAAAACACCATGGGCAGGTGCTGGGGTTGCACAGAGGAGAGCAGCTAACTCATTGAGGATGCTGAGCAACCAATAATATGGATAAGATGCTGTTTAGATAGGGCCTTGAAGCACAGTTGGGATATTTCTAGGCGGAAAAGGAATTCCTGTAAGAGGAGAAAACCACTGGAACAAAAGCATAAAACTGATACAACGTAGAACATATTCCAAGATCAAGGCCTTCTTCACAGGTCCCAGGACCCTGTGCCATTTTTTTGCTCATTTTCCTCCTGTCATGCCCCACAAGAGTGCAGATTAACAACATCAGAGGATGCACAGGAAGAATACAGTGTATGGCACATAGATGCTAGTCAGTAAACGTGATTTTCATTATCATGAGTCTACTTATGCTTGCCTTTGGTGATGATGATGATAGCTTATAGCATGCTTTCTAGATGGTAAGTATTGTAAGAGGGTTAAGTGTATCATCTCATTTGATCTTCACCACAAACCTATGAGGCTAGAATTCTTATAATTATGATTACACCCATTTACAAATTTGGAAACTGAATCACAAAGAGATTAAAGAACTACTCCAAGATCACAAACCTTTTAAATTATTGAAGACCAAGATTTGGTTCTGGACGTATCTGGTTAAGAGCTTGACCTTAATCTCTACTACTGTGATATTAACAGTAACAATCACCATTTATTGAGCTTAAGGTAGGTATTTAGACAACAGCATGATGAGTTACTATTATATCCATTTTATTGATAGAGAAACTGAGCTTCAGGGAAATTATATGACTCATCCAAAAGTACATAGTGGTATAGTTAGAAATGAACCCACGTCTGCAGACTCCAAAGCTAATGCTTTTCTTATTGCTCCATACACAGCCTCTCATATTGAATTCATGGTAAGCTGATCAGGGTCAAAGAACAACCCTCAGAATCCTCCAATATGCTTCCTGCTTGAATATTTTAAACATTATGATTAATGCACCCAGTTTCTGTCTGTATTCCAAACCAGTATTTAGAAATCCTATTTCTTGCTGTGGCATCACTAGACCCAGATGTCCCTCCTTCTACCCTGTAAGAGCACCTGGAAACTGGCTGTATTTAGGACAAGCATCTCAGACCAAGGCTAAATAATGTTCTTATCAGTGCCATTTATTTCTTCTCCTTCCCATCATGCAATTCACTTTTCTAGGGCAATCATTAGAAACATTCACTCGTTTTCTTAAGAGCCCATCTCGTACTGCTGACTAAATCCCAAATATTGAGCTTCAGATTCAGGATGAGAAAGCTCAGGCTTGCAAGCAGTCTCCTAAAGGCTGGGCTGTCAAGTGTTTCAATATAATTGGGAAGGAAAAACAAGACTATACAGGATTGAGGACTTCCACTTTTTATTTATTAGAGAACTTGGGGATTTTTTCAAGTCTATAATAGAGTGTGACTCAAGTCTACTGGGAAGCGAGTTTAAGCTACTACGTTCCTAAATCGTGAAACCCCCAGATTCTACTTTGTAAGCAAAAATAATATCAGAATTAATGTCTACTTCCCTCAGCTCTGCTCTGTGAGGATAGTACTGACCTTACGGCCTCATTTTAGTGTAACCTAATGTCTTATAATTATTCTGCAGTTCACTGTGAGGTGCATTTATGTTCACATACATATATTCAAAGGTAAGGTGGAAGTTAAATGTGTCTCATTATCTTCTGAGCAACATTAGGGGAAGGACAGTGTTTTTGAACCTTTGATCATGACATCACCACAAAACTTAGCCCCAGAAACAGTTGAAGAAATATTTACTAAATTAACATAACCAAGATATAAAGTAATTCAGTTTTCCACAGGAAAAAAAGAAAAAAAAAAACATCAAAATAGGTGTTCCTAAATTTTCATTAGGCTTGTGATATAGAAAATTACTACAAATCTAACACTTCCTAATGTTACTGCCTCAATATTTACTAAACATTGATTGAGCACTGCTATGAGTCAATCATGTTGCAGACTAAGACAGAATATCTGCTCTAATCGAGGGTTGGCAGTCTTTTAAGGGATACAGCCCCTTAACACATCAATCTTATAAAGTAAGGTAGGTATTGCAGTTAGAGGTGTATGAGGATGTTGTATGTGGCATGACTCTCAATTGGAGAGTCAGAAAGTACTTCAAAGAGACTGGAGTGTGGAAGAAAAGGGAGAACACTCCAGACTAAAGAACAGAGGTAAAGAGGTGCAACATGTTCTAAGACCAGTAAATATCAAGTCTGTCCTAGGCAGAGATCATGGTAGGAGGAAGGAGAGGAGGCTTTTTTTTTTTTTTTTTTTATGGCAGCAAATCTTCATTTTTTATTTTGTACAGCTTCCCAGGAGATAATTACTCCCATTAAAGTTGGAGATCTTTGCTCTTGGCACACATGAAATGAGTCTTGTTTAGCTGGGCACAGTAAAATGAAATGACCAGAAGATAATGGTGAAAACAGCAAAAGGAGAAAGCAAGTGCCAGGCAGGGATTCTCCAGAGCCTCTTTTTTAAATCTTGGGGAAATCATACTCACTGAGGAATAGAAGCCAGGGCAGATGAGGCCTGCATGGACTGTGGGTCAGCTAGGGAATCAGAACCAGGAAGAGGCTGGAATCATTGTCAGGACTGAGAATGTGGTGTGAGTTTATTCTGAGGGTGGCCATGTGGGCACCTTGGCCATATTAATAATCTCTTTCCCCCCTCCATGATGGTGGCAGGTGCAGGAGCTGACTTCGTGATGCTGGGTGGCATGCTGGCTGGGCATAGTGAGTCAGGGGGTGAGCTTATCGAGAGGGACGGCAAGAAGTACAAGCTCTTCTATGGAATGAGTTCTGAAATGGCCATGAAGAAGTATGCTGGGGGTGTGGCTGAGTACAGGTATGTGTGGTAGCTCAGGAACTTAGTAATAGTATGGAGGCAGAACTCATGGCTGTTGAGAGGGGGATGGTACAGTTCTTGGAGAAGAATGGTGAACGGGGGATCAATGCTAGAGTCTGGGGAAAAGTCCCTCGGCTCACGGAATCCAGAAGGAAAAGATAAAGTTTTTTTTTTTTGTTTGGTTGTTTGTTTGTTTTTTTTTAGCTTTAAGAGCCTCAGAGGGAAAGACAGTGGAAGTTCCTTTTAAAGGAGATGTGGAACATACCATCCGAGACATCCTAGGAGGGATCCGCTCTACGTGTACCTATGTGGGAGCAGCTAAGCTCAAAGAGTTGAGCAGGAGAACTACCTTCATCCGAGTCACCCAGCAGGTGAATCCAATCTTCAGTGATGCGCGCTAGACCTGAGCAGTTCTGCCCTCCCAAGACACCAGTATTCTACCATGGTAGGAGGAAGGAGAGGAGGCTGGGGCCAGGTTCTAAAGATTTTGAATATTACTAAGTGTGGTTTATAGCAGTCAGTGATTATCAACTTCTTTTTTTTTTTTAACTGCAATCTTCACATGTGGATCTTCCTCTCATGGGCACGCCCAAGATAATGCAAATCCCTAATGACTTGGCATTTCAACTCCTTCCTTTATAGTCAAGAAAGCATGGTGTGAGGGCCAGGCATGGTGGCTCACACCTGTAATCTCAGCACTTTGGGAGGCCAAGGTGGGCAGATTAGTTGAAGTCAGGAGTTCGAGACCAGCCTAGCTAACATGGTGAAACTCCGTATCTGCTAAAAATACAAAAATTAACCAGGTGTAGTGGTGCATGCCTGTAGTCCCAGTTACTCTGGAGGCTGAGACAGGAGAATCCCTTGAACCTGGGAGGCAGAGGTTACAGGGAGCTGAGATGGTGCCACTGCACTCTAGCCTGGGTGACAAGCAAGACTCTGTCTCAAAAACAAAACAAGAAAGAAAAAAAAGAAGAAAAGAAAGCATGGTGTAATGATACTGGGTGAGTGTAATCTTATTTTAGACATATTTCTGAATCAGCCATAATGAGAAAAAATGAGTATTCTCAAGTTTCCATACATCAATACTTTTTCATAATCATCTGTGACACCTCTTACAGCCTCCCCTCCCCAAACTGTTATGTCCCAATATCATGATTGAATTGTGGTTCTTGGAAGTTTATCATTGTGATAACCCTTACGGCCTCCCCTCCCCAAAATTGTTATGTCTCAACTTTATGATTGAACTGTGGTTTTGGGAAGTTTATATAATCTCTAGCTGTGGAGTCATATAGTCAGTTATATATTTTAGGACCTTCATAAAAGCCAGCAATTACCATCTCATCTCCAAGTCAGAGTATTACTGAAACATTAGAAAGGTAAGGCCATTCATACCTTGTTCTCCTTCCATTCCTAAGCACTTGGAAGCTTTCTTTTGGAACTTCCTATCTGTAAGAGGTTTGGATTTTGCCGACCTCCCCTTGGCCACATTGTCTTCGGAGAGACGTCTGCTACAGAATACATCCGGTTGAGTTGTTATTTCAAATTGTTCTCCCCACTTTGGTGAAAAGTCACCAGTTTAGCAATTAGAAACTGCTATGCTCCCTTGTTTTTAGCTGAAGTTTCATACTGAGAAAACTGTGTTTTACTTGGCTTGACTTCTATTCCTGAGCGATACTCAAGTTAAGACGCAGGTGTGCTTGGTAGTACTTAATGCCTTCAGTGAGTAAACTGCTACAACTGAGCTAGCCTATGTAAAGTGAGCTTCAGTGAATGCAGAACCATTACTTTTTATTTTCTCTTCTGCACTTTCAAAGGAGCCATGATTTGAACTTTTATGCTCTCTTTCCTGCATATAGCAATAACCTCCTAACTGGTTTTTCTGACCCAAATCAAAAGCTTTTCCAGTCAATGTTTTTAGTACTGAGTGATTCCACAACAAACAGAATCCTGTCACTCCCTTTCATAACACCTGTATTCGTCCATTTTCACACTGCTGATAAAGACATACCAAAACTGCACAATTTACAAAAGAAAGAAGCTTAATTGGACTTACAGTTCCACATGGCTGGGAAGGCCTCACAATTATGGCAGAAGGCAAGAAAGAACAAGTCACATCTTACACGGACGGACGGCAGCAGGCAAAGGGAAGAGCACCCGTGCAGGGAAACTCCCCTTTTTATAACCTTCAGATCTCGTGAGACTTACTCACTATCGCAAGAACAGCATGGGAAACACCTGCCCCCACGATTCAATTACCTCCCACGGGGTACTTCCCACAACAGGTGGTAATTCAAGATGAGATTTGGGTGGAAACACAGCCAAACCATATCAACACCTTTCATGGGCAATCCTGTTTCTGAAAGATTAAAATTTAAAATTCATGAATCAGACCTAAGAAATCTCTCAAGTCTCATCACCTGTTACACTCATCCAAACACTCTTAAGTTTTTGCTAACCTGAACTATGAGTGTTTCTTCATCAAACTGAAGCCTCTCTCTCTCTCTCTGCCACGTATTTGCATAGGTTATTCTCTGAAATTCATTGCTGCCTGAAATGTTTTTCTCCTACTCAATTTACTTTTTCCCCTACTCAATTTACTATGAAACTTAAATTGATGCTTTAACATGTAATTCAATAATCTCTTTGCCTTTGAAACCTTCTCAAGAATTTCTAGGAAAGATTCATTACTCATCTATTCATCCAATCAATACCTATTAAGCACCTTCTATGTGTCAAGCATTGTTCTCACTGCCAGGAATACAGATGAACTAGACAAAGTTCCTACCCTTATTTATTTGACATTCTAGTGTAGGTCAATATAACAAAAATAATAAACATAACATATAATTCAAAGTAGTTAAGAGTGTATTAAGAATAATAAATCAGGCGATCTAAAATTATTTGGGGTTGGAAAGTGAACTTTTGGTATCTTTTTCAACTACAAACAGCATACTCTGGAAAATGACTCGTTTCACATGTCTTGTCTTCATTATAGCTCTTTGAGATGATAAATGCTATTTACCTTTGTCATCTTTGATCTCACCTTCAAAACACTCAATAATTCTGTCCTGAATGAATGAATATGCACACATGTGAACAGCTGAATAAATGAACTATTCTGCTCACTGCTTTATTTTCAGTCCATTGGAAAGGAAGTTTGCTGCACAATAATAAATGAAATACTCTCAAGGTAACAAACACCTTAACAATACTAGGACTCTGGCCAAAAACTAATTCACCTTCAGCATGTTGATTAGAATCATAAACTGCTCCTTAGACCAGGCATCTGAGTCATTTAATGCTCAGGTATCTTGAAAGAGAGATAGAGCTTCCCTTAGCCAATTTTTCTATGCTCTATAATGTCACAAATGAAGACGTCTCTCCAATTCCTAAAATAAACAACAAAAACAACAACAAAACTATACTAGCTTTATAAATTACTTTTCAAACTGAGAGTTGTCTATAAAACAATTTTACTGGATAATTAGCCGAAGTGTGGAAATCTTTATATTGTAAAGAGACATTTAAAAAGACATAATTATGTGGCCAAAGAGATACAAAATTCATACTATGGCAGATAAGTAACACTTGGTCCCAGGATGCCCATTAACTCACCCTGAAAGATGAGTGACCAGATCTTTTACTCATCTATTTCTCAGTTTCCACATCTGTACAAAGGGCTTCTGTGAGTCTGAAGTTTATCTGAGAATCCCCATGTTATTCTGCTCTCTTTATATCTCTACAGAAACCAATTGAAATTTCCAGTCCTCACCATTGGCTTGTTCCAAAACAAGAAATCAGAAAAAGGGTACAACGTAAAACAAAGTGTCTCATATGAATTGTTAATTTTTTGTTTGCGTTTTGTTTGGTTTTCAGCAGACAAAGCACAGGACATGACCCTTTTTGGGGAGGAGGGAGGTTTAGTTGCAGGCAACAGACATCTAGTAATCAACTTTGGTTAATGTATGCCAAAAAGTAATTTATTGGAAAACTATGGGTTCACTCATAGAATTAAGGAAAAAATAGAATAACAAGGCTCAGAAAAGATCAGATCTAGGACAACTCTAGGATTTAGACAGCAGAAACTAATGAAGAATCTCCTTAGGGCTTTGCTTAAAGAGGAATAAACTGTATCAAAGACCAGATACTACGACATGCTGCTCAAAAAACAGAATCTAGAAACAGAGTACTCGATTTATGTAGCTTGGGTCACTCTTATTTCAAGAATGATGCACTTTACAGACTTGCTATGAATGTATCTAATGGAAAAAATGCAATTTTCCAGTGGACAAAAACAGATGCTTTCAGTAGAAAAAATGGGAATAGATGTTGGATAAGCAGAATGCTTGCCTCAAGCAAAAACTTGGGAGATCAAAAAGAAGGGGCTTGACAAAATAGAAAGAGCAAAGATTTTTGTGTTAAATGGCCTGGGGTTCAAAATAGATTTTGGCATTAAATGGCTTGGCCCCCTACTTAGTAGCTATTTTATAGAGATTATTTTTATTTACCAAGATAGTTGCTCTTAGAATAAATGAGGTAATCTATACAAATTAATATCTAGCTCAAAGCACTTAATAAATTGAAGCTATTATTCATATCATTATCAAAGAGTAAATGTGTTCAAGGTGTTTAGGGATGAGAATGCAAACATATAATGACATGTTACTGGAAGACTCTGGATGTGGCTTCGAGGACACAGCTGAGCAATAATCAGAATGCAGCCCCAGGATGTGTTCATGTTTCCGGATATCTGATTGCCAAAGTCACTATCCAAAATTAATCTTAGAATTGCCTACTGCTGTGCCCTCATTGCAGTTCTAGCTTCTTCTTTTCATTATCTTTGGCTTAAAGATACAATGTTCAAATAATGGATGAAGAGGAGAAAATTGTGATGTTTGATTAAAATATGATCTATAAAGGCAGCAAATCACACTGCCACGTGTGTACCTATGCAACAATCTTGCATGTTCTTCACATGTACCCCAAAATCTAAAATACAATAAAAAATATGACTCAACCATTCTCACTGTATTCACTTGACATTTGTCAAATCTATTATAACCAATAACACTTTTATATATGGAAAGTATACTAAGGTCTGTGAGGGGCTGGAGCAGTCTGTACTGGTGCAGGCAATTAGTAGATATATTGTCTGCATGAAATTTCAAAAATAATAAAACCAACTAAAGATGATCCGCTTTTTATTATCACTATATACTGGTAATTTTAAACAATGTCAGTGATAAAACAGTCTTTGTGAAAATAAGTAATTTAAAATGTAAGCTGTTGTAATTTTAAGATATTTTCAGCCTTAAGGCAATGTGATTGTGGCACCTGAGTCATACAATCAGGCAACTATAACCTAAGCTGTAACCTTTGTTCCCTGATTATATCAGCTTTTTTCTTACCTACATTGTTTTGTAAAATGTTGTAAGTGTCCCAGGGG